TTGTTAATGAACAATCACTTTATGGAAGTGATTGTTCATTAACAACTTACTATAAAGTTTTACGTCGTATACCTAATGTTCTTCTTATGTCAGTTAAAACAGTAAATCGAATTCCTCTATTCCAAGACTCCATAAGCTTCAAATTGAGCATTAGAGATAATAAATGCACCAATAGGTTCTTTAATCAATATTCTATACATAATATGTACCCTGGTCCAACTAAACGTACATTTCTCTTACAAAATTTTAACAAATCTACGATAACCAAAGAGATTTAAATTCAATGTTTGTAATTTTGGTTTCTGTAGAACTCAATTGGAAACTACTAATTATTTGTTTTATGAATGCAAGGAAGTAAGAAACCTCTGGGATCTACTTAAGATCTTTCTATCCTCTAGATCTATAAATGTGGACTTTAATGCCTTACAGATAATTCATTTTGGTTTTTATATGAATGAAAAACATGTGGAATTCTTAGTTAATGCTTTGATGATTATAACCAAATATTATATCCATAAATGTCATTATGCAAAATGCTCCGTCTCATTCTCTGCTCTCAAAAACAAACTTTCCTCCTTTAACCGACGTCTGAAAAAGATGCAGAACCTTAAAGCAAATTAATTGTCTGATATAATGGAAGAATTTCAGTTGGTCCCCTCTTCTTAATAATTTATTTTAGTTTTTTTTTTCTCTTCCTTGTTCTAGCCTGTGATTTTTATTGGAGTTAATAGGAGTTCTGATCTTATTTGTTTTTTGTAATGTTCATTATTGAGTTTGTCATTGATATTCTGTATTTTTCAATAAAAAAAAAGAACAGTGATACAACAGAAAGGATTTTGATGCCTTTATTTCCTCAGACAATACATTTTTAAACTTTAACACACTGTATCTTAGTACGTTTACTATTTTGAGGGAGGGAAAAACGTCATTTAGGTATTTTTAACAACATTAAATCTAGGACGACCCGGATGTATATCTGGATGCGCAGATAAACTGACAGCGCATGCGCTGAACGGATCGGATAGTGACAGGATATTTTATTATTCGTATATCTAAAATGTAATTTTAGCTTGTCAGTAATTACGTTTGAGATATCTTGATTGTAAGTCCGGATGTGTGACGCTGTAAATGACGTGAGATATCTCAAAATGCATTTTAATTCTCCAAAATTTAATTGAATATATCTTGAAATGTTATTTTAACTAGTCATAATAAAATTTCACATATCTTAAATTATCATTCAGGATAATTAACATTTAGGGTTCCCTCGTCAAAACCTTTTCTTTAATATCTTAAAACTAATGACGGATAGTCAGAAGAAGTTGATTTTGTGATAAAACATCTTGCCATACCCGCCCTCCACCTGGAGGGCGGGTACGAGCGAACATTCTCGTGGCCGCCATTTTGGTCGGGAAGCTCGCAGGGTGTGGACCTCTATGCGGTCAAACGTCGATATTAACGCCTGATATGAAGCTTTCTACCCAGTAAATCGTCTCCAGATCGTCACTATGAAGATAATCAACGCTGTTCTGCTCCTCACGGTTAGTCTGGCCGCTGCTGAGGTCCAGTATTATGGGACCGGAGGTTCTCTGGTTCTGAGGCCTAAATTCTCTGGTGCGATAACCAGCATCACCTGGAAGCATAAAGGGAACATAGTAGCTGAATGGATTAAAGGTTCCGTCGATCTGGAATATCTGGGTGACCTGAAAGGTCGGTTAGACCTGAACCTGACCAACGGGGTACTGACTGTGAGGGACATGATGGAAGCAGACGAAGGAGAGTTCAGTGTGGAGATCAACAACAAGGTTCTTCCTGACACCTTTAAAGCTCAGTGGATCGATAACCTCAATAATCACAAAGTTGAAGTCATAGTGATGCCTCTGACCTGCAGCAGTCAGTCTCCGAACTGCTCACTGAGGTGTGGCGAAGAGATTGAAGGTGCCGGACCCATCCAGTACTCCTGGAAAAAAGGAGAGAATGGAAAATGGGAGAAGGGAGAGAGGGTGATTGAGATTAAAAACACGGAGGAAACTCGACGCTTTAAAACCTTCACCTGCAGAGCAAAGAATGAAATCAGCCAGAAGGAGAGCAAACCGGAGGAGAACCCATTCAACAAGACAGAGCCTAGCAACACAGGGACTGTGATTGGGATTGTTGTTGTTCTCATATTAGTTATCATATGTGGAATTTTGGCCGTCATGTGGATTAAAAAGTGGGGTCCCTTTAAACGTTTCGCGACAACTGAAAGTCCAAGAGAAAACGGAGAAACGGCTCAACCAATGGTGGATAAATCACCTGCAGCAGACCCAACCACTCATAAGCAGGATGTTTAGGGTTTCAGTGCTTGGACCACTGTGACGTCACTGCGGGGACAGGACTGATGTGTCTCATCTGGAATCTATACATCAGCATCAGAACATCATCGCTGTTCCACGTGCTTCCTGTCCAGAACCTCCCCACAGGAACCATGGCAACGGAACTGTTATGAACAGTGAAGACCTTCACCCATATATCCAGCTTCTCTCATTGTGTGTTTGCAACCATGCAGATGGACCTGAATGAAATTCTCTCTCCATGGCTGCTTGTATGAAGGTCACTGAGATTAACATTTGTTTTAAGGCGTCTTTGTTAATTATGGCTGCCATCTGCTCAAACCTGGGCAGGTATTTAGTATTTATACACAATCTATCAATTTCTGCACGCCTGGGATGTCCTGAATGACTATTGGGTGAAGTTATGAAGACAAGATGCTGTATGTTCCTCTAAACAAGCATTTAGCATCATTCCACCAGCCTGGTGATGAATGATGAACATTTAGATGATAAGGAAAGGTTAAATAAAAGATCTTTGGACAATCATAGGCTGAGATGAATTATCAATGTAAATTATTTGTATCTTAACATGTTTTGCTTTTAAAAAGCCTTGTTTTTTGGGTATGAATTTTAAGGCGCACAGTGCCTTAGTTGTTGGAGTTAGGAAATCAAGCCGCCCTCAGTGACAGGAACCTTGCATGTACTAATTTGCTGTATATTTTTTGCTTATATGCAACATACTTTTAAGTTGCTCTTTTTAAAATCACTGGAAGAAGTAATGTCTATAGAGTGGTTCATTGTTTTAGGAATGTCTCTGGATTTATATTTCTACATTATCTAACAATGAGTTTCATGTTCTTCCCGAGCTATTCTGTGTATTTTATATTTTCATTTTGTCTGTTTTGCTCTGTAAGAAGACGGATGACGTCACCACCACAACCTGCCGGAACCACCCCTGACCTTTATCAGTTTTGTTTTGTTTTGTTTTTTAACGCTCCTGTATTTATGTTTTACCCATTCTTTTTAAGTGCAATTTTCAATAAATGTGTGAGCCTTAACTCTACAAGTTTTTTTTTTTTTTTAGACATAAATCAAAATTAAACTACTTTTAAGTAAAAGTATATTCAAAGCGAACCAGGAAGTAAACGCAGGGCACACTCTCAACCTAAACAGCGTATAGAAACCTCGGTAGTTTTTTTTTAAAACTATTCGGGTTTAAAAGCAGCTGAAAGCGCTAAATAAGAAATAAATTTGTTTGAGGCGTCACCATGTTAACAATAGCTTTTAGCTGTGATGTTTCCTGAAGTTGAATATTACATGAAATTGAAATAAAATATCCCGGAAGTGGAAGCAGGTCACCATCTTGGTCGTGCGGCTTGACTCTTCGGGGCGATGCTAGCTCGGCTAGCAGCCTGTCCGGTTCCTCCTCGGTGGTATGGATATAGAGACAGCTTTTCACACCGTGGGGGAGTTTGGACCGTATCAGAAGCGGGCTGTGGCCGCGCTCGTCCTGGTTCAGGTTGGTCTCATTTTAAATCCTGACCGGAAGGAGAAAACGAACAGAATCCGCTAACGGTCCGCTGGCTAGCAGCGGCTAATGCTACGTGGCGCTTCAGACTTTTAACGCTTTTAACACTAACTAAAAACACCGCGTTAGTTTAAAAAATGGCACACAAAAAAAAAAACAGTTTTATTTATATTTAGCTGTCATTGTTTATAAATTTTAATTAATCCGAACAGTTCCCATTCAATTAGCAGACAGATTTATAAAGATATGGATCAAAACCAGATTGAAAATCTTTACAGGACGTGTATCAGATTATAATCTACTGGAAACATCTTAATAAAACACTTATTTAATTAGTTTAATTAAAAAAGAAATCCTGGTGTTTTTTTGTTGAATCTGCTAAGAAACGTGCAGTAATGTTTCCATATGGATCCAGATCCTCTACTTCTTTGTTGTTAGTTTTTTACCTTAGAATAAAGTTCTTTTTATTATATAAACCACCCAGTTAATCCGGTTTTAAGCCTGGATTACTATATTCTGAAACTATGCCTTACAGAATGACTGGCATAACCACAAAGGGATTTATTTTTTGGGGAATTTATCTGGCAGACCAGTTTAAAATCCAGTATGGATTATGAAATAATTGCCAAATAATCTGAAAAGTGTGGCTTGTAATGGCCTAACCTTTACCAGAGGCTGGATCAAGTTAGACCCAACTAAAACATCCTGTAATCATTAACATTAATATTTCTTATATAGACATTATTTATAACCCCTGCTTTTTAGGAAGAATTAACTGTTTTTATATTTGAAATCTCTTAATTTTCTAATAATAATCAGAATGGAAAATAGTTTATTTTTACAGGCAAGTCAATAAGAACAAGCTCTTATTTACAATGGCAGACTGACAAGTGGAGTAAACACTTAGGGAAGTAGGGCTAAAATAAATAAAGTAATTCAATCTAGAGTTGGAATCATAGTTGATCGATAGACTGGTGGCTCTATAATGACGAGCTATGGTGATCTGACGCCGCTCCACATCTCAGCAGGTTCTGACACGCTTCCCCTCCTGCTGTGTTCCAGGTCTACATGGCCTGTCAGTCCATGCTGGTGGTTCTGGTCGGATACACACCAGAGTACCGGGTCGATCAGCCGGCCGACGGTCCGTCCAGCCACGTCACCTTCACAGAGGAAGCGGACTCCATCGTCACTGAGGTCTGAGAGAAGAACACCTGCAGCTGTTCCCACATCAGGATGGGAAGCAGGGAGGCTTTAACTGGTTTCCATCTTTCCTCCCCAGTGGGTTCTGGTCAAACAGCAGGCCTATAAGGTCAGCCTGGCCGGGTCGCTGTTCTTCACCGGGCTCCTGGTCGGGAACGTCGTCTTTGGGCCGCTCTCTGATAAGATTGGAAGGAGACCCGTCTACCTGACAGGTGAGGAGGGATCAGATCCGTTCCCTTCAGTCAGACAGCGGCTGCCGGTTACAGCAGGCGCTGTGTGTTTATTAGGACTCCTCCTCCCGTTTTCTGAGGTTGTTGGGTTGCTTGTTAAATTCCTGAGATGTTTGACATGAACTGATAACATCTGAAGCTTTTTCTCTCTTTTTTTCTGTCTTAATGTTGGCAGTGGGCTTTAGGCTGCCCTGCAAGGCTTTAAACCTGGGTTTAACCAGAGACTAAGCCATTCTCAAGCACATATCAAGGAGCTCATTTTGAGCCTGGATCCAGATTTATTGTTGATTCTGTTCATGGTGGAGAATCCTGCTTCACAGCAGCAGGTTGAGCCAAACATCCTCTAAATGTGCAGGGTCATCTTTGAGCACGCCATTTCACTTTTCTTTCACCAGTTCACCGCAGTTCTTCCAGCAGTCCACACTTTCTCTGCTCTCTTTTTCTCATGGTCTTCTCCTTCTTTCCCATCGCCCGGCTTGCCACAGGTTTGCCTGCTGTGTCTAAAAGTAGCAGCAGCAGCAACCCAGACTGACAGCTCATTGGCTCATTTGGATCACGTGCAGCCTGGAGCCGGACGCTCCCCAGGGCTTTACCGTATTAACAGGAGGAGAGGCGCAAGTGAAGTTAGATACTGACTCGGACAACATGCAGTAATTTATAAATGTTTTAAAAAATGGGATCTGGAAAATGCAAAAAAAAAAGCAAGAAATTCTCCAGAAATTGGAAGAAAAACATTTCAAAATATTAATAGATTATTGAAATAATCAACTAATTTAGTAATCGATTAATCATTAACTGGAGTATAGACTGGATATAGATAAATCATGGCTTCAGCTGACAGAGCGACACACTTAGAGCAGGACTTATACCAAAATTGTAAAAAAAATAATAAATAAAATAAATAAATAAAATAATAATAAAAATGTAAACATTTTGCATTTAAGATAAAAAACAAAAAAACAAAAAACATTTTCATCTCTCAATGTGTTTTATCCAGAACTCCTCAATTGAAAAAGATTCGCCTGGTTTCGTTTAGTAAAAAATCCTCTTTAATGAACCTTTGGCTTTCCGATTATTAATCAAAAAAAATAATCGAATTATTTATCGTTTTGCAAAATAGTCATTAGTTGCAGCCTTACAAATATTAGAATAATTAGAACTAGTAAACAAATTTAAAAATATGAAAAAAATAATTGAAAAAACAAAATAAAAAAATAAAATTGAGTTTCTCTCAAAACTTTTTTTAAATTTTTTATTTCTTGATTGCATTTTTTATAAGTTCTATTTGCAGAAAATGTTCTTTGCTTGCATCTATAATGGAACAGAATGCCCTCCTAGCATCTGATGCTGCGTTTAAACCAAACGCGCTTTGAGCAGCAGGAGCAGCGCCTCATGAGCTTCTGAGCCTCTGAGGCGTGAGTTAATATTTGCTGCTTGACGCTAGGGGTGGGCGATATATCGAATATACTCCTTGGATCTCGAGTTTTCCCACGCACCATACTTAAAAAGACTTGCAGACATCGAGTACAAATTCACATGACAACATTAAGTCGTCTGCATCTATTTCACTGAGTTTTATTTTCCCCACGCACTCTGAATGCATCATAAACCCCTCCTCCCAAGGATTAGTTACAGGCAAACTAAAAATGGCGACAGCAGGTGTTTCAGGGCAGCGATATACGGCAGCAGTTTGGATTTCATGCTGAGGACGTTGAACAAAAGGCGCTCATTTCTAAGACGTGCCTCAAAAACCATTGGAGCAAAAGGCAGCAGTACAAATTTATTCCACCATAAGTCATCCTCTGCAAAATGTAGAATGTTGTAAACAATAAATCAGCTGTGAAGCCGCTGGCGTCGGCTTCGTCGTTTGGAAAAGCGATCCCATATGAGAGAAACAGGAAGAGCTGGAGGGAAATCAAAGACGCTGTTATTGACGTTATTTAAATGTAGTTTAGATTCTCTAACACCTGTGATGTGATGGTCAGAAGTTTTCTCTAAACTTGGCAATGTTCTGAAATTTATAACTTTTTGTGCTTCTTTAAAATCCCCAGCAGGTAAAGATCAGTGCTGATAGTTTGAAGATGCTCTGATAATGATCTAATATTTTGACAGTGTTTCCACTTTTGTTTTTTTAATTTAAGGTCAATTTATTTTTTCATTCCACTTTTTTTTATGTTGCATTTTATTTAGTATTGAGTGTTTTTGCTTTGTTTCTTGTTTGGTTGCTGGGATCTTGATAAAGGTTGAAAACTGACACCCAAAGACATCAGGTGGCAGAAAAGCTTTGAGCTTAAAATAAACTAAAATTGAATTTGAAGCCAAAAGTTTGAATTAGTTTATCAGTGCAATTTTATGCACTGTATTGTTTTTGTTATTGTGATCTATATCGTGTAATGCGATGTAGCCCAAATATATCGTGATATTGGATTTTCTTCATATCGCCCAGCCCTACTGGACGCGCCGCATCAACCAAGAGTGAAATTAATGGTTGTTGTTTTTTCCTTTGGTTTATTTTTATTTAATCCTGGACGTAATTCTCCTCCCGTGCTGCGGTGGCGCTAAACCTATTTTGCCCTCCTACCTCGCTTCCTGGTTATACTCTTACAGCAGTGTGTTGCAGTGAGCTTGATGCAGACATTTTTAATTTATGCTCAATATTGAAGCGTGGTCTGCGCTACTCAAAAATAAAAAAAACATAACGATATTACAGCTTTCATTGATTTATTTCAAATTTGAAACATTGTCTAGCCTGTAAGGTGAAGAAAAAAAACAAAAAAAAACAACCAATTAATGGAATCGAATCGTGGTGTATTCTTGAGTATCGAAAATAATCGAGTCGTTGGGTCAGGAAATCGATGCTGAATCGATTCGCCATGATGGATGTGATTTACACCTCTAGCTCAAAGTTTGTTCGGTTTGAAGGTAGCATTAGACCAGCCGACTGAACCTCCTCCTCACGTCTTCATCTCTCTGCTGCTCAGGTCTGCTTTTGGAGGTGATCTTTGGTTACGTCACCGCCATGGCGCCCAGCTACGAGGTGTTCGCCGCGTCCCGCCTGCTGGTGGGCCTGATGAACGGCGGCATCGGCCTGGTCTGCTTCGTCCTCACTCAGGAGTATGTGGGGAAGTCCTACTGGGCCATGACCGGTACGCAGGCATCTGACCGGCTCTCCGCCGACTCCAGACCGCCCATCCTAACCCCAGATGTTTGCCTCTGCAGGGACGCTGAACAGCATGATCTTCGCCGTGGGCATCGCTCTGTTCGGAGCTCTGGGATACTTCATCCGGCCCTGGAGGACTCTGGCCATGGTGGCCAACTCTTCAGGCGTCCTCTTCTTCCTGATGTCTGTGTGAGTAAACCTTCAGCTTTAAATAAAACAATGACGTTAATCTAAAAGGAAAGGAGGAGATCCTGTGTTTATTAGCATGCTAACTGGATTCGTGGGGGGGGGGGTTGGTCCTTCCAACTTTAGCAGGAAGGGAGAGAGTGTGTTAGTCGCTGCAGCTCCATGTCTGCTCTGCTAACATTTGATTCTGCAAATATAATCTGCATTTTATTACTTTCCAGATAAAATGTTATAATCTAAATTATAGGAATGTCCCAGAGGGGCTGAGCTAGCGTTAGCATGCTAACAAGCTGCTTTTTGTGCAAAAATTCCTTCGTAGATAATTGATGGTGTGTTTTAGGTGAGCTCTGAGCCGATGGCTGCTTCCTCTGAGGGACCGGATCCAGGTAGAACACGTCCTTTGGAAAAGGGAAGGAAGGAAAGAAAGAAAGAAAGAAAAGGAATAACCAATGGATCTTTATTTATATACCGTTTGCAGTGATTTAGTGAATTTAGCGTTAATCAGTAAAAAGAAAAAAATAATAATTTTGGTCGTGATCACTGGGTCTGGGTGATCGCGCCCAGCAGCAGGAGCTCTACCTCCGCCTTTGTGCAGGGAGGAACAGGAGGAGCACTGTCAAATGACCTCCAGCAGTCTACAAATGTTCAAGGGTCTGCATGTTAGAAACCGACTCCATGAGGATGGTATGAGGGCTTGACGTCCACAGATGGGAGTTGTAATCACAGCCTGTACAACAAAAATATACTTTTCTTGGTGTATATTCTTTTCCAAATATAGTAGCCCCTCCCTCCTGCCATCTTCCAGCAGTGACGTCACGGTGCGGTAAGCCTAGCGCCATTCTCCCCGCTTT